TAATTTTCAATCCCATTTTAGTCTGCTTTGCCCCCAGACGGGTGCCCCTGAATCTACAGAAATGATTCTGGGTCATACTGACACAATTCCTCCATTTCTTGGCCCAAACAGACCCCTCTTTTCGAAACAATCTCTGGGGGTACTTTTTCTGCGCCTGGGTCTGGTGGAGAATTTTCCTTGAATTGGGACACTGCACCCTTGATATGATATGATATGATCTTAGGTCAGGCTTCGGACTCGCCACGATTTGCAGGCTCTCATTGGACAATCGCTGAAGGTGCGCGTTAACTTCCGGTTCCATGGTTCCATGGCCGTTTTCCGATACTCAACTTCGGCTCCGTCTCAGTCAGGCTTAAGCTGTTTTTTTTACAACCTGGTTTTGAAGCTGGAAGCGCCATAATTATTCTAATAGTGCCACAAAACATCAAATATGATGCAAGAGGGCCAAAAATTACAGAAATCCAATTTTATTTAAACGCCTCAGGCCCACAATCGGGGATTGGTTTCGGGGACGCAGCCTGAGACGGAGACGAAGTTGAGTATTGGAAAACGGCCCATGTAAACGGTGATCCCATTTACCCTATTCGAGTGGAGGCCATTTTTGATCTTATTCCCCAAATTTGTTTTATATAATGCAAACTGTCGATTAGGATGGCACCAGACTGTTTTATACTTCCGCGCGTTCCAAGCCTCCCTTTCAATTGTTTTCAGAATCTGGCAATGTACATGCACAGTTCTCTGTCTTCAATCATGAATTTGAAATTATTCGTCATGAGTAGACAGGTGCAAATTTGTCATGAAATTTCATTTTATTGCTTCATTTGTATTCTCAACAATAAAAAAGGAAGAGTTAACCTCTCTTTCAAATTCGATATGGCCGGGCCCGTTAATAAAACCGTGTGCAGTGGACGCGCTTTAAACTGAAATGACGTCACACTTACGAACCGGGTAGATAGATATGACGCAAGGGTCAGAGGTCACAAGTTGAAAGCCCGGATACTTTCGATTTCATCCCTTACGTTGTGGGTTAAACCGGTTCCAATTCAGTTGAGTGTTCCCTCGAGGCGCACTTGAAAAAATGTCTGAAAATTCAAAATCATACGTGAGCATCATTTTCGAAATTCTTTTAGTTGATCAATTCTTGTACAGCAATATTCCTTTCACGCACACACCCATCAACAAGTAAGTTGTTTGTAACTTTGTTGTTATATGCCAATGCATGATTGTTGACGGTTTACGTTCAACAAGCCCACCTACCCGACCGGGAATAGCCGAACATCAACGGTACCATCCGAACATGCAGAATGTAGACGGGAAGACTTCAGAATACCGGCTATTTCCGGAAAACTGGAGGATTTCCTCCAGTCCTGGTCACGTGACATTTGGTGATACCGGACCCTTGATTTGTCGGGTAGTCAGAATCGTCGGGTCTGGTATCAAATGAAGATCAGTAGTTTCGCCCATTGTTTGCCCATACTTTTCAAAAATCACGAGAAACCCGTGTCAAGAACAGGCCGCCCGAACTCGACCATGATACAGACGCAGATATGCAAATAGCCGTACAAAAGCCGTACAAACTTTCGAGTCCATGGGTTTGTACGTGTGCACAAACATGGACACTTTGTGATTTTTTCACATTGTTCAACACCACAGCGGCGCTCTCAAAGTGTTGCAGTCCACTCGACTAATTAATGATCTGGAAATTGTACCATACACGTAAAAAGCGTTTAGTGGGTTGGTCCAGGAACCGGCCACGAGACTGCATCCTAAGCAAGAATCATACCACAAGACCAACCAGCCACGCATATCAGTGGCGTAAACCTGTGCTGGAAGGTGGGGGGGGTTGAGGATGGGGATAGGTGGTTTTGGATGTGATGACTTGCTTGGCCATGGAAATTTGAAGGGGGGACACCATGGGGGCGATGTTCATGAAAAAGATATAAATCTTTATGTGTATCAGATTCCTGTAGAATCTCACATCAGAATGGCATTTTGTGACTTTTCAGTGATAATTACAAACATTTCAGTCGTTGGAAAGTCCAAAAATTCTTTACAATCCGCTTCAATTATTTTGTTCTTCACAAAAAGTGGCACAGTCACCCCCCCCCAAAAAAAGGATTTTACTTGTGGGGGGCATAAGGGCGCACAGCATCTTATGGGAGCACCAGTTGTGTGTGTGTTTTTGGGAGGGGCAAGCTTTTGTTAGCCTTGTTTAACATCTTTATTATCCGTTGTTGTTGTTTTTTTTGTTAGTGGGGGGCACCTGGGGGGACATCGGCAATTTGTAGGGGGCACATGCCCCTAGGCCCCCCTTGGCTACGCCCCTGAATGTCCGGATAGTGACCCACTCCAAGCGAGAATCATATCACCAGTCGGCCACTCTGTGGCACCATACTGTTGTCAGTTACATATTTGTACTTTTCAACAATAATTCCTCCATTGCTTTTGGATAACTGCAAATGATAGACTATACGTTTAAGGCTGAAACAATACCCTTTTCTATGGTGCAATGATTTGAATCAAGGGTCCCTATGGCAATAACTCCTTCCCCATCGTTGGCATACATATCCCTCAGTAGGCCTTGGCAATCCTCCTAGCCCAGGAACTTTGGGGTTCGTTGTGGGAGCGCGGCGGACAACGAAACCTGCTACTTTCCTGGGCGTACAGGTACCCTCCCTGATGGTGTGCTATCTGAAAGTCCACCCGTAGAAATAGAAAATAATAGACCCAGTAGAGTCATTGAGGGGTTTCCGTCCAGGCTACCATCATGGGAAGTGGTTTTATTTGTATTGTATAGTTTACGGTAGTGATATGAAGCCAAGGATGTATCCAGAACCCAGAGTTGTGATGACTTGAGCCATTGACTCGACTCGAGTCCGACTCGAGTCACAATTTTTGGCGACTCGACTCGAGTCCCGACTGGTAAATGACTAGACTCGAATCTCTCATGGAAAGCTTATAAGATAGTAGTCTCAAACAATTTAAAAGCAAAGTTTTTTTGGAGAAAATAATATTTTTGAAATCGGACGAACGGTGCTGCTCTTATATCAATCGTGAAGTCCACGATGGTAGTATACACAGCATACGACACAGCGCGCCGGTCTTTGTTTCTTTCTCAGTGCATGGGAAGTATACATACCAAAAATGACTTACAAGTAGTTGTGCTTTTATTGTATTTTGTTCAAACTTTTGTGACTCAAATCGACTCCAGTTCGGTAATTTACTCGACTCAACTCAACTTGACTACAAAAAGTGACTCGACTCGACTTCTTGACCTCAATGACTCGACTCGAGTCACCAAATTTAGTGACTCGTTACAACACTGCCAGAGCTGCATTTAGGAGAGGCTAGGTTTTAAGTTTTTTGGGGAGGCAAAAATTAGGATTTTTTTCATTTAAGTTTTTATGGCCTTTAGGCTGAGGGTATAGGCTACATGGGGTTAATTTTACGTGATTTTGAAAGGAAGTGAAATGAAATAGACCAAAGATCACCATTTTCTCATAATTATTTGGGGGCATGGCACCCGTTGCCTCATCCCAGATCAGCCCTGTAAGCCAGCGAAAGAGAATTTCCTATGGTTTCAGTTTGTGGTGATTAAGAAAGTCAAAGGTACTAAAGCATAATGACGGAAGTTTATGTCTATGCTCTGTGATGGGTGTCTCTGTCGAGTCAGCCTTCACACTGTTGGCAGTGGCGAATGGGGTTCATGCATTCATCAGGGCTTACCTTGGGGTGTGCAGGAGAAAAATGCTACGTAAGCAAACGTTACGCGTCTTATTGGGCAAACTGACTACTTGAATATACTCAATCCTTTCTAATGGCATTTTCTCCACACGTAACTAAGTGAGGCTGGTTGGTCTAGTGGCATGATTCTCGCTTTGGGTGCGAGAGGTCCCGGGTTCAATTCCCGGACCAGCCCTACATTTTATAATACCTTTTTAAAACTAATCTATAGAGTGAAAAACAACCAGTTAGTGTTTTCAGTTATTTTGAAAGTCGGATTTTAAATCTCGTAAAGATAGTTCTTGGGTTATTTGCTGTATTATTTACACTTAAACTTGGTAATTAAATTCCAAAGGACCTGTATTAAAAATGTATAACTGTTGGGTGCGAATGACGTCTGGCTGATTTTCTCCCAAATTGACTCCAAGTGCAAGTATCATCTTTCCTCTTATTCTTACTTGCTGCACTTCCGTACAACGTCTACGATTTTACAATATGAACTATTCCAATTGTTCTATCTCATAGCAGCTGTGTAGCCCACTGACTGCTGTTTCAAAGCTGACGCAGAACGTAAATATTGAGGTATATGAAATCCTTCATTAGAAAAGAATGATTTAACAATTTGTCTTCACTACTATTAACTGAAGCGATTGAAACCCTCAAAGATTTTTCCATACGCTGCCATGCACAGAGACGATTCGTTTGAAGCGGGTGCCTAAACTCATAGTAAGTTTTATGAAGCAGTTCCATACGGAGCATCGTCAACGGTGGGGCGTGAGCTGGACCCAGTAGCAAAGAGCGTCTTCACTCAACATTCATCCGTTAAAAGTACATATCAGACCCTTAGTAGGTTCGAGCCATGTACTGGCAGTGGCACTACCTTGGAGTTCCGAACACCGCGAGTCACTGTAGTTGTGCTAGTGGTGGTCATGTACATGTACGAGCAGTGTGGCTGTTAGCTGGATACGTAATTGCTGACATATGCAGTTTGCCGGTGGAGAGGTTACCTCGTCACCAGGAAAGTGCGTGGATATAACAAATCTAGGAGAGATATTTAGACGCATATTGTGAGCATGGCTGGTTGGTCTAGTGGTATGATTCTCGCTTAGGGTGCGAGAGGTCCCGGGTTCAATTCCCGGACCAGCCCTACATTTTATAATACCTTTTTAAAACTAATCTATAGAGTGAAAAACAACCAGTTAGTGTTGTCAGTTATTTTGAAAGTCGGATTTTAAATCTCGTAAAGATAGTTCTTGGGTTATTTGCTGTATGATTTACACTTAAACTTGGTAATTAAATTCCAAAAGACCTGAATTAGAAATTTATAACTGTTGGGTGCGAATGACGTCTGGCTGATTTTCTCCTAAATTGACTCCAAGTGCAAGTATCATCTATACTCTTATTCTTACTTGCTGCACTTCCGTACAACGTCTACGATTTTATAATATGAACTATTCCAATTGTTCTATCTCATAGCAGCTGTGTAGCCTACAGACTGCTGCTTCAAAGCTGACGCAGAACGTAAATATTGAGGAGGTGCCACAATTGAATAGAAAAAATAAATATATGAAATCCTTCATTAGAAAAGAATGATTTAACAATTTGTCTTCACTACTGTTAACTAAATCGATTGAAACCCTCAAAGATTTTTCCATACGCTGCCATGCACAGAGACGATTCGTTTGAAGCGGGTGCCTAAACTCATAGTGAGTTTTATGAAGCAGTTCCATATACGGAGCATCGTCAACGGTAGGGCGTGCCCTGGACCCCTAGAAAGGAGCGTCTTCACTTCTTCACGTTCATCCGTTAAAAGTACATATCTGACCCTTGAGTAGGTTCGAGCCATGTACTGGCAGTGGCCCCACCTTAGTTGGGGTGTAGTTCGAGCACCGCGAGTCACTGTAGTTGTGCTAGTGGTGGTCATGTGCGGCGTAGTGTGGCCTCATTGTTAGCTGGATGCGTAATTGCTGACATACGCAGTTGCCGGTGGAGAGGTTACCTCGTCACCAGGAAAGTGCGTGGATATAACAAATCTAGGAGAGATATTTAAAGTAATATTCTCAGCGTGGCTGGTTGGTCTAGCGGCATGATTCTCGCTTCGGGTGTGAGAGGTCCCGGGTTCAATTCCCGGACCAGCCCTACGTTTTCTAATATCTTTTTAAAACTAATTTATAGAGTGGAAAACAACCAGTTAGTGTTTTCAGTTATTTTGAAAGTCGGATTTTAAATCTCGTAAAGATAGTTCTTGGGTTATTTGCTGTATGATTTACACTTAAACTTGGTAATTAAATTCTAAAAGACCTGAATTAGAAATTTATAACTGTTGGGTGCGAATGACGTCTGGCTGATTTTCTCCTAAATTGACTTCAAGTATCATCTTTCCTCTAATTCTTACTTACTGCACTTCCGTACAACGTCTACAATTTTATAATATGAACTATTCCAATTGTTCTTATCTCATAGCAGCTGTGTAGCCCACTGACTGCCGTTTCAAAGCTGACGCAGAACATAAATATTGAGGAGGTGCCACAATTGAATAGAAAAAATAAATATATGAAATCCTTCATTAGAAGAGAATGATTTAACAATTTAATTGTCTTCACTACTATTAACTGAGGCAATTGAAACCCTCAAAGATTTTTCCATACGCTGCCATGCACAGAGACGATTCGTTTGAAGCAGGTGCCTAAACTCATAGTAAGTTTTATGAAGCAGTTCCATACGGAGCATCGTCAACGGTGGGGCGTGAGCTGGACCCAGTAGCAAAGAGCGTCTTCACTCAACATTCATCCGTTAAAAGTACATATCTGACCCTTGAGTAGGTTCGAGCCATGTTGGAGTTTCGAACAGCGCGAGTCACAGTGAAGTTGTGCTAGTGGTGGTCATGTACGAGCAGTGTGGCTGTTAGCTGGATATGCAATTGCTGACATACGCAGTTTGCCGGTGGAGAGGTTGCCTCGTCACCAGGAAAGTGCGTGGATATAACAAATCTAGGAGAGATATTTAGACGAAGATCATGAGCATGGCTGGTTGGTCTAGTGGTATGATTCTCGCTTAGGGTGCGAGAGGTCCCGGGTTCAATTCCCGGACCAGCCCGTGGCCATTTTTATTTTCAATGTTTACATTTTCTTTGGTACCCACATTTGAGCACATTGAGTAGTTTTCAGTTTGAGTGAAATAAATAAACACTTAATTCCACCATACAGTCCTTCTTTTTCAGCCTGTGAAAGCACGTATCCCTTTAGTGAATCACGCCAACCAAGATGCAGGGAAAGAAAATGCAATTGGAAATTTGTCTGTTATCCTCAAATAAGTAGGGGTGTGGCTTCCAAATCCCTGAAAGCAACGTGCTTTTTCAATTATGGATATTGCAACAACCTCGGCTATCAGTGAACGGTTCTTTTATTTCATTTTCCCTTCCTCTTTTACATTGTCCAGGATGATCGCGGCAAGCGCCCTCTAGTCTTTCCCCTGCAACACCCTACGACAGATTCTAGCCCCCACTTTCCGAAATCTCATCCCCTCCCGTCTCACACACACACACAACCCGGCCCACACCCACACAATGTTAATTGCATTATGAATAAATACATCATGCCAAGTAAATGTCGACAAATGGGTTCCTCCTATCAGCCAAAGGGGTTTGAAACATGCTGGCCCTGATTTAGTAGTACCCCCGTAAACGGTGTGTGAACTTAAACTGAGGGCCACATCTGTTCGAATATTAGAAGGGCAAACATTTTGAAATTAAACGGTCGATTAGTCGCACTGTACGTCATTCAGTTATTTTCCTATGAATAACCTTAATGCCATGCCAATCCTGTAATGTAGTGAATATAGGGGTGGGGAAAGCGTGAGTGCTTTAGGAAACCGAGACGTTTTTTACCTGTACATTGAAAAGAAACAGAACAGGCCTAACTTGCATAGGCCAATCGGACTTTGGCGAGACATTTGAAATTTGTTGTTGACTGTGATCTTAAGCCACTGATAATCGAAACTCAACCCGATCTTTTGTTTGATAGCTGTGCGACTTCAACGCTTGCATTTCACGGTTGTTTATGAACCAGCAATGCGCAGATACCAAAGGATCCTCCATTGCAAGGAAAATTGCGCCCTCTCTAGGTACAGCTTGAGACTCATTCAAAGGGCAGACCTGTACTAATCATCAACATTACACCCCATGCCTATGTTAGGTACATGTATATGCTTCACTCGTATAACTACTCCAGGTGGCCGATATTTAGATCAAGGCTAAAGAAGCATAGCCTATAACAATGTGAAGCGAGAGCAGCATCCACATAGACGCATTTCAAAGCATTGGCAGAATTCAAGGTTAGCGCGGTTGTTTCGAAGGATCAATTGTGATGTTGATAACACCATATAAATGCAGTCAGTCTTCCGTAAAATATAAAATATATAAATACATGTAGTGCACATACCCCACCTTAATTTGTGTTAAATTTCCGCCACCTGATCTGCCAAAACTTTGAAACCGTTGTCAATGTTCTTCTTGTCTTTGCATGCTGATCGTGGAGTGCGAAAGAAAACCGAGTGAGTGGACGGTAATAAAAGTACTATATTATGACGTTTTATTTTTACATACTATATGAAATATCAGTCATTGTTGGATACTTTAGTGTGGCTGGCTGATTTTAGCTGGCGTACGTTGTACATTTTTTACCACGACACGAATTCAATATCCTGTATCAAGTATTGATCGTTTCACGTTTAATCCTTTAGATGTGACGTCTTAAAGCTTTGAAGTAAAAAATTAGTTTGTTATATTATCTTTTTGACTTTTTCGAGATTCAGAAAAAGCTTCGAATAATCCCTCGGTCTTAAAGTGGCGATCTAATATGAATCACATTAAAGGTTTTGCATGGTAGAGGTATCCATGTGACAAAGATGTCGAGCAGCATCAAGTGAATGAGATTATGAAGAGAACCAGCGGACTCAACGTTTTGGGGAAAGTATGCTCTGTCCGCCGAGTCAGACGACTGAAGGCATACCACACTGGAAGTGCTAATGTGGAAGATTTGGAAACACCGAGGCAGTCCCAGTGAAACTCATACAACAGTGGGGCATTCACGCATGCAGTTTTTAAATTAGATAATTCTTTTCTTGTTGGTGTATGCAACCTGTATGCATGGCCAACCTCGACTCCGGGGAATATTTTATTTTCAAATTTGTTTCAATTCACATAGTAACTTCTGGTTGTGCGGCTGTCTGGGCTCAGGCCTTGTATATAGTAAGATTTCCTGTACAATGGGGCTGTGAATTTGTACGTCCACTCTACCTAACAAACCACCTACTGGTTTATATAAAGCTTGCATTGAAATAAATTGTAAAAGAGTCTATAGTCGAAAAGCTTTTTACATTTCAATGAAAAAACTTGGTTTTGAAGTGCAGGACCTTGTTTTACTGCATGCTAGACCGAACGCTAATTAAAAGCAGCAGCAATAGCATATTATTCTTCGTCAGAATAACTTAAAGTGGGCAAAACTAAGAACATGATAGATAGCAGGGTAAGGAGCATGTAGCCGTCAGGGTACAATGTTCGACATCTATGGAATAAAGGTTTCGAACAAAAATGTGATCATCGCTTTCGCTTAGCGTAAGGCCAGTTCATACTGAAGCGAAAACGAACGACAATTATCGTCGTCATATCAAACATTTGCGTTGTGAATTCGTAGAAGTTGAAAACACTTATAACTAGTGCGAAATTTCACGGTAACTTTTTCGTGACATCAAATTCGCTTCGCTCTTGCATTCGCCTGAAGTATGAACGGGCCTCTACGTCCATTAAACTTTTATTAATGTTGTTTTGCATTATTTTGTATTTTTCCGATATTTCAGATCACAATGACTTCGTTTGTTTTCCTACTGTTGATTGGAGTATCCACCAGAATGTGTCAGTCATCCGTTTGCTCTGCGCAGTGTAATTACGACCACATGAGTGGACGGGCTGACTGCTCATCCCGCAATCTGGACTGCATCCCTGTCAACTACCCAGACTCCCTCGTTATGGATCTCAGCCACAACAATATATCCGTGCTGGAATCTGGCGACTTCGACGGTAACAACAGGTTCAACAGGCTGGTGGAGTTACACCTTGATTACAACAACATAGCTGACGTGACGTCACTGTTGACGTCAACTGCGTTGGGAAGTCTGAAGAAACTGTCCTTGAAACATAACGTCATTTCTAGCCTCAGCTATTCTTGTGAACTTGGCTCCGTCGAAGATATTTCGATGGATTACAACCGATTCAAACACTTATACGTGTTTCCAAATTGTCAAAAATTGAGGTACTTTTCAGTTGATTCAAATGGCCTGCAAGTTGTTTACATGTTCCGCCGAATATACGATTTTTCGTCCTTGTTCTTCAGCCTGCGTTTCAACCAAATACAGACTGTTAACATTTTGTCCATCACACTGAATTCAAACTGTTCCAAATTGATCGTGATGCTAGATCACAATAAAATCAGGAGCATTAATTCATATACGGTACCAACAAAGCTCACCCTGAGGAATAACAAAATACACGGATGGAATAGCGGATTCAGTTTCTCTCAGCCTGGAGATAAAGTGATAGAGAGACTGGACATAGGAAACAACTTATTTGACTCCCTGATACAGCCAGATTGGGCCGAAAGTCTTCAGATCCTATACGCTGATGACAACATGTTAGCCAACCTGTCCTCTACAACCCTGCGAGGATTCGTGAGCCTGACAGAGCTCCATCTAGCAAACAATCGACTCTTGTTCGTCTCTCCAACCAGTCTCAGTCAACTCACCATGCTACGGTCCTTGTATCTCGATGGCAACGCCCTGACGTCATTGTCTGGTGGAGTATTTCTCAATCTAGCTAAGCTAATCCAGCTTTCCATTACCAACAACCAACTGTCCGTCTTACATCCCGATTACTTCATCGGTCTGGATTCGCTGGAACGACTGTATCTCGCTGGGAATCGACTGTTTTACGTCCACTCGGAAATGTTTCGGCATATACCTAGACTTATCCGGGTAGACCTCTCTCAAAATGAACTCGATGTTTATGATACAACGAATTGCAGCCGTCATACAAGTTTGCAGAAGGTCCTTTTGGCTCACAATTTACTTCGTGACATCAGCAACCTACTTGGTCATTGCACGAGCTTAACAAGATTAGACGTGAGTTTCAATCAGATACAGATGGTTCCGGTTAACTCCACTGGAGCGCTATCTAGACTAGAGCTTGAAGGCAACCCTCTTCAGTGTGACTGCCGGTTGACGGGTCTACGCGACTGGCTTCTCAATAATCCCCCGTCTACTCTCCCTCGATGTCAAGGTCCACCGAAGAACTCCGGAACAGTGGTTACAGACTTGGACATACATGACTTCTCGTGCCACCCTCCAAAGGCTGTGATTGACAAGAACAATCTTACCGTGACAAACGGTCAGACAGCAACTCTATCATGCACGGCAACCGGTATACCCGCCCCTAACATAACATGGCTAGACCCCAAGGGCACGATAATATCCGACGAAGGACAGGACAGATTTGTTATTTCCTCAGACACGACTGTCTTCATTGTTTCAGTCGAGAGGTCCGATCAAGGAATGTACACGTGTTTGGTCCAAAATACCTTGGGCGAGATGGACACAGCTGAGATCATCCTCACTGTTACTGAACCGAAGTCAACCGGGATAGCAGGTACTCTGGTTACTGCCGTTGTTATCACCATGTTTGTCACCCTTGTTGTCACACTCAGTGTCATCACCTTGGTCATCTATCTCTGTAGGCTTTGCGACAAGAAAGCTCAGCCTGCCCGCCCCGCAGCTTCGGGGGACGCATCAGTCGCTTTCCATAATCGCGAGGCTGCCGAAACCGACCGAGCCTACGTCAACGAAACTGTCGAAGTAGATCACGATGTTCTGTCCGATCACGAGCAAGACGTGGTAGATGGATACGATACGGCCTTAGATACTGAAAATCCTATGGAATACGCTGAAGCTTACGAAGCAGTGACCGTGGGAGCTATGGCATGGTGAGTTGAATAGCGAGACCAAAACAGAAACTTATCGTATTAAATAAATTTCATTTCAATCCAAGGACTTCAGATCATGGGGATCAGTCTGTACCAATAGACGTCCGTAGCAAAAAATGATACCGGCTTTTGTTGAAGTGTGAGTTTATGGTGCTCAGTTGGCTGTGCCTCCGCATAGAAAAATAGGAAAGTGCACTTGTAAACAAAATGTGAAGTAATTGGTACAGAGGCCTATTTGAATGAGGGAGTAGGAGTCATGATTGCGACAGTTTCTCGAACTTTTTCGTCGCCCGAGATTTTGCAAGGCGAAGGCAGAGACGAGGAGACAGATTCAAATCATCTAACGCCATGGATACTTTTTATAATGGTCCGTTGTCATTTTCAATCCATTGGGGTTATGGTACGGTAAGATTTATAACAGTTACATTCATCGAAGAGAATAAATCAGCATCGTATAGAGGAATTGTAGGGTGCGGAGAAAGAAAAGTTATTTTAGTTTTGCAAAGTAGAAAACATAAACTCTTTTGTTAGATAGACAAACGCTTTTCAAGTTGTAAAAGTGTACTTTCCGGCATATTTCTTCCTTCACCTAAGCTGTAATGTAAAGTTGTGATAAATTGTAATGTAAAGAATTATGTTATTACCGTGGATAAATTTAAAATGAAGAACGTACTTTTAATTGCAATAACGTTTCATCCTCGGTGATTTTCCTCAGTACAACGCCCTTTTATATATTTACTCTTACTAAATTTAAAAGTAACATTTTCATATCCTATTAAAAACCATTGGGTCCTAACAAAAATGAATTGCAGTTACAATCAACGTCTCTCTTCGAATCAGTTTATGCCGCTTTTTGTGCCTACATGTACATGTTTATCAAAATATAATAATAGCTTACAATGATCAATATAAAATAATACATATTTGATAAGCATAAAGAATTTTTGTAGAACTTTGTAGCCTAGTATAACCCAAAGATAAAAGGATCTGTTGTAATAGTGTATATATGTACTTGTTAAATTTGCCCGATCTAATCACACAAATTTCACATAGAGTGCTTACAAAATTTATTTCTATTTATTTAATGGGCTTTAAATGAATAGGTTGTAGCGTACTACTATTCACATTAAGCTGTGAATTTAGGGATTTCAATAAGTCATTTGAATAATAACGTGTAGAACAAAAAGACGTTGCTGTTTTCCCCCTCCAAATCTTGCCTAAATTTTAAAAAGTGAGAGTTGTAACATAAATTGAAGTGCGCATACTTCATTTCCGATTTAAATTGCTGCCTATCACAACATGCCAACTATCTACACACAGACACATTTTGAAGACTGAAATAGACTGAAAATATACATATATAGCTTCCAGTCCCCGATTTCTGCTTCCTTATTCAAGAGTGGTTGGCCGCAGAACATGTTTTTTTTTTCCTTTCCAGCACGTACCACCCTCACATGCGAGGCTGGTTGGTCTAGCGGCATGATTCTCGCTTAGGGTGCGAGAGGTCCCGGGTTCGATTCCCGGACCAGCCCTGTTTTTTTGGAGGGGGTTCTTTTTTTTCTCGCTTCATAAGTTGCATTTTGGAAAGTACATGTCCTCTTTTTGTAAACCATTTCATTCATGTCCTCTTTTTGTAAACCATTTCATTCATGTCCTCTTTTTGTAAACCATTTCATTCATGTGTTAAAAGGTAAATAGAGAGAGGCCATCATTACCATTGTTACAGATGAGACATTTCTTCCTTTATAATTCGCCTGCTGTTTTTTATTTAACTCTTTCTTTAGGCATTTGTGGTATTTTAAGTCTAAACTGTTCTGCAGCAGACCCCATGTATTGTGCTTTGTACCCAGTATTCTTTTGTTAAGATGTTGCCCAGTGGGCTGACCGGTTATGTAATGGCTCTTTCATTATTTGCTGGGTGCACATGTATTTAAGAAGTGGGTTGTACCATGCTTGGGTGGACGCATTACATTACAGCCAACCGTTCAGCCAGGGGCTCTGTTCTTTTTTCCAACTAATGGGTGTCGCCAACCTTCATCACTCCAGCCAATGACGAATTGGCCCTCCAGCTATACACTGCCTGCAGATACAGCGAGTCACCGCTGTACTCTTGTATTGCATGTAGAGACCGCGAGTCTCCGCTGTTCTCTCTCTCCTTCAAGTTGATGGCCCAAACCAACCGGTTTTGCGGCTCTTCCTAGATGGCCTAGGACCAGACCGGTTCTGAGGCTCACCCCAGATGACTTGGATCAGGCCAACCGGGTGTACCAGCCAGTGCTTCAGCCAGCTGTGCCCGAAATGTCCCTCCGCCACAGAATACCAATAGTCAACTTGACAGCACGCACCCAATCAAGTCCTCAACAACAACAACAACAACCTATAAGTAATTATTTAATTTTATATACAAATAGTAACCTAGATTTAAATATTGGTTTAGTTATTATTTTTGGTATGTAAACTGAATAAATTTCTGTAAATGTAGATGCTGGTTTCCTTTTCTCTGCTGTCATGTTCAACTCTGGTCGTGCCCTACTTCATTTTGGTTCTTTTGAATAAATTGCACGTAACACCATGTTCGTTCAATTCTGCAAGATCGAACTTCTCTGACAAGCAGTGCCCACCGAGGCTGAGATACGCATGGAAATGTACAACGGGGCCCTGTATCCATAATCATCGCATGCAATGGCACAACTGGGCTAAGACTTCTGTGGAACACCCCGGGTGATAATGTTTTTGCAAGGGGAACTGAACTTACCAACTTTGGCAGTATGTGTAAACCAATGACGGTATCAAAATTCAAAAATCATGAAATGCAGTGCCATTGCACGAGCCCTCTTTTGTTCACGAGACCACACAGCATTATTATGCCTAATCACACGCACTTTCACGACGTCCCTCTATTGCACGATTCGGTTGTAAACCTAACTTTTGACGAAGATAGTTTCTGGCCTGGCCTACAAACTCCAGCTCGTCATTTTTGTGCACGGCAAAATTACGAGCGATGTGCAGACAGCGAACAGATATATTTGGTTTTTAGGGTAATGAGTACGTCCCGTAAAAGCTTTGCAAAAGAGCATTAAGCTGCAAAAATTTATTTTGACATATATGGGGGGATGTTTAAGGAAGTTGCAGCAAAAGAAAATTGTCGAAAGTTATACAAAACCAGAATCGGGAAGTCGTGTTTAAAAAAACATAGCTTGGCAAAACAGCAAAAACACAATCAACATCCCTAACCCAAAATGAGGGCTTTAGCTTCAGCAAAAACTAGTTTCCTTGCAGATGTTTTCAAATGAGCGGCCTGTTAACACAGCAGTCATGTTGGCAGTGTCGTAATGTGGACAATGCTGGATTTCAATAGGTAAGGTACACAGTCAAAAGTCCAGCATTTGTTTTTTACAAGCGGAGTTCCAGATCTATTTCTTCGTCACAGGAGGACAATTTCATATGACTTTCTTGTATTCCAAAAGAAAAAAGACAACAGAAAGGTGTCATTCACTTTAAAAACTGGCATGTCTCAGCAGAGAATTTTCAGTATCTTCTACCACAAGTTCCATTCTTCTTTGGGCCCCTGCGAGGACGAATTTATTGCAGTCCCCACCAGAGCTGAATCTTGTGAGATGAAGGCGGATGTCCAATTTCCCGGCACCTTGTATTTCCTGCATGACAGAGTTCAACACAATATGTAGCCAGGGCATCAAAATATTTTGTTCTGATGATATTCATCAGAGACATGTGCCAGACGGTCATTCAATAACAAAATACCGTTGAAAATACCCTGACCACAAAGGAACTAAAAATGTTTATACCTCCATGCCCTGACCAAAATTCATTGACCATTTTTATGCCCAGCTGGTACCTCCGTGCAGGGGCGACGTCCTCCGATACTTTCGTGCATGGAGTAAAGCTCTTGTGCTGAGACAGACCGTTTGCTCTACTGGAGAATTTACTGCGTGAGTACATTAGAAATTACAAACGGTTGCAATGGGAATGGTATCGTGTTTTTTTTAAGGGAGACTGGAGTTGGAGGAAATGTTTTTCTTGCAAAAGCTTCTTCGGATTGCGATTGATACAGGAGAAATGCGGGCGTTTTTACCCTCGGTCAAGAGGGAATCCGCCCTTAATTCTTTTCTACGATATTATTTTGTTTTCTTTCGTGGGGCCTTTAAGTGACTTTGGTTGACACACCTTGAAGTGATATTCATAAAACACCAAGTTTATGGAGATTCCAGTGCAGTTCTTGAGCAATGTCCACGCAGGCAGAGAAGGGAGGCGAACTGAAGTTTTTTTTTATAGAATACCAGGAGTGAATGAACAACAAGTCCTTTAATTATGTTGTAACTTCACATACACTATCCCGGTACATAGTATATGTCTATATATATGTCTATATTGTTACTGAGTGGTTAAATTTGACCAGAGAGATGGGTGGTGGATAACCCCCCAGAAATTTTAAACAGGGATGCAGACTAAAGAAATTTTCAAAAAAAACCCCACCAATTTACGAAAATAGAACTGCTGATTTAATTAAAATTGAGAATTAGAAAGGTCACATGTACATTCAGTTATAAATTCAAATTAATCCAAATTACCTTAACCCCCTTTTAATGTTGGTGCAGTCAAAGGACGGTCAAATTCAATTTGGCCCAACCCGGCATATATTTTTGCTGGCTGGCCAGGCACAAACTACCCAACCCTGACCACTTGACTGGCCAAAATTTATCAAATAAGACTGCAGGCCAGTGGAAAGGCACCACAAAATTATACAAATGGGTAGTTATAGCCTTAAACGCTAAAGGTTTCGGCCAGACACTTTACAGTCATTGACTGCTTAAAATATTGTACCTGATTACATTTGCATAGGAGGGTAAAAAAAAAAACCCTTAAGAACCCCCCAAACACCCACACAAATAAACGACAGTTTATATGATGATGAAACCATCTGTAATTTAAGATGAAAATACATTTGTATAATTGACCCGACATTATATAGATTAGAGGTACATACACAGTTATATGTGCATATAGTAGATTTATTTAAGTAAGGCATAAAATATGTGGCTCTACCACAGCATACATTTTGAATTTATGGTTTATATTCCTTATTTTTTTATCAGCATGCACTAATCAATTTAATAAGGAATTAAACAGATATTTCACAACCACCAGTAATACTGTTGAGAATACGGACTACGAAGCAGACTTAGATTGAAACATGTTTTCAGAGAAATTTAATGCTTTTTTAAAAAATCGATTCTTTTTTGTAAAGTAATGTTTTTTTAAAACAGACCGTACTTTGAATTTTTGAATTCATTTTCCAAAACCGAATGAGATCTTTCGTACCTAATATATCTTTTTGGATGACTTGAAATTTTACAGACCTAACATGTTTTTAAGATTCGAATGAAAGTTTTTTGACCCAACATGTTTTCAAGATTCGAATAATATTTTGTAGACCTGATATGTTTTTAAGATACAAATAAATCTTTTGGACCTAATATGTTGTTAAGATTCGAGTAAATTTTTTTGGACCTAACATGTTTTGAAGATTCGAATGAAATTTTTCAGACCTAGCATGTTTTCGAAATCCGAATGAAATTTGACACCTGACATTTTCCAGATTCGAATGCATTTTCCCCGACAATAAGCAGCCGAAGGTTTCGAGTTCCACACCCGCATTTCATCCAAATTCAGAAAGCATCCGACTTTAAAAGCATCCGAATATTGAAAAAGCATCCGAACTGAGAAAGCATCCGATCGGCTGTGTTCGGTATGCGCATGCGCAGTCAAACCATAGAATTATTCCCGCTTCCTTAATAAACAATCGGGCAGTCAGTGTATTAATATTCGACGGCGTATACGGTAGATATGTTTAATGAAAATACATGACTCGATACACGAGTCACCAAGCTCAAGTCCGAGTCATCGTGGTCGAGTCCGAGTCATTATCCTATGTGACTCGAGTCGAGTCCGAGTCAGTGTGACTCGAGTCCGAATCGTGGAGTCAGTCGTACAACACTGGATAAATATAAATTAAGTGATAGTGAAAGTGCTAGGTGTCTTATCATATGAAATGCATAGCCACAAAGTAGGCGTTCAGTGTTGAGAACTTGATTCGCACGTGCTCATTCATATGGGGCGCAGTGCAAGTTCTCAACGTTTTCCACATGGGGGTTTCACATTCAGTAGAAGCATCCCCTCATCGGTTGCAAAGAGCCATGCTGGTCTAGAGTTTTCAATTTGCTTGTGGCGACGCGACCGTATCACGTGCATTTCGTAGTCGTTGGTGGCCCAGTTCCGACCAAAGGAGCCTCCTTTTGCCTAGAAATTTCGCCCTCTCTTAGTCCAGTCCTTGGCTTATACTCGGCTTCCTCTCCCTCTAAGGGTTGACCTGATGTTCAAACCCCTGCCTTTGAAGCTGCTTTATTGTAAGTCAAACAGTACCAAATGTTGAAGTACTGTAGCCTATTCCCATTTAATTTGAACAATGCTTATATTCGGGCACCGACTTTTTCTGCGAGAGATGAGGAAGTTCATGCAAGAAATAGGCCTATGTTGACAACAGTAGGGCATAAAATCAAATGAATGTAATATCCGGGGTTTTTTTTTCAATGTAACCTGAGGAATGGGAAAACTATACACGCCTCCTCAAGCAGCACCATGCGCGACTTGAATATTCATCAGTTCAAAAGAGGTGATGTTCACTTCCGGGACGGACTTGATTTTCATGATCCTGGAGGTGCCCACATCAACAAAACTGTAGACCAATTTCAGTAAAAGTCAGTACATACAAGTCAATGTATGATTTTTAGCCCTAGGAGGGTTGCAATTCACACCTACTATATCCACTAGCTGATTAGTAATCTCAATCAATCGCATGCATTTGTGGGTTTTGGGCTCTTTCTACGTCATTTGTCGATTTGCCTACCAGTGGCCCATAAACCTGTGACTATAGCCGTCCAAAGCAAAATAATAATTACCCAAGTTTTTAAAAATTCAGCAGCTGTCAAAAAACCGCATACTAAATACACACTACATTGCCAAACACTCAATAAAAACGCTGTAAATGAAATGGCGCAAATGTACATTTTGGAGTGAAATCTGACACCACTCAAGGCGATAATTCCTTTCCCATACAAACTAGATCCAGAACATTTATGAACCTGTGCAGTTTAATGTCTGTCATATACAACTATGTTTTAGCTAAGGAGAGTGCACAGAAAAAAAAACTAGTTTTCTTATCTTTAAGACAAAATTCATTTCTGCATGTCAAGGGTGCACAAGGAAGTCGCAGACAAAAATGTTCCCAAATTATCTCATCGCCAGAAATAGCAAAGAAGCAAATGAGGAAGCTATTGTTAAAAGAGAAAGATATGGCTCTACACCAAAGGAACAAAAGCAGAAACTTAGAACCCGCTGCCACGAAGGAAATTCAGAAATGACTAAATTTAATGGTTGTCTATAACCACGCAATGGTTGCGCTCAAAAGCTCTAGAAATTTCGAGGGAAAAATCTACCAGACTCTTAGTTTCCTCCACAACTTTAAAAGAGACACATATGCATAAAGACAAATAAAATACCCGGTAACCTTTGCGTTTAATTATTATTTTTACAGACGACCCACTTTTATTAGTTATTTATTTCCAAATAACGGTGAATGGGCCGAAGAATTTTAAAGCTAAATCGGAACCACGCAGTAAGGCAGTAGGTTATGCAGACACAGTTTTGTAAATATTCAGAAATCGAGGGTCTTCTAAGTTTAATACTGTAATCATCAAAACAGGAAAAGAAGGTCTATTTTGCTCCGGAAAAATGTATACCTTTCCACTCGCCTGTGGGTGGGTGGGTGGGTGGGTGGGTGGGTGGATGGGTGGATGGATGGTTGGTTGGGTGGTTGGTTGGTTGGTTGGGTTGGTTGGTTGGTTGGTTGGTCTTTTTTCAGTGATGTACACGGGCTGACAAGCGTGAATGGAATTGCCGTTAAATGTAAACGACCATAAAAACACATCCGTGTGTTGGCTTGAATTTAATCTACACAAATATACTAAAAACATGTGTTATTATTTGCATACCAACTTTTACAAATATCAGAGTGTGACAGCCGAGATCTTTGGTGGCGAAATCCATCCCGGCTGTGATACGGTTCCAGGAATGCCTGGTTCTTTAAGGTCAAAGCTTTTTGACCTCATGAAGAGGGACATAATTATATTGAATGTGACTACTCAAGTTAACCTTGGTCTCAATTTTGTTTTTATTTATGATATTTTAGATGAACATGGAGTTGTTTGCCGTTGTCGTGGTTCTGTTCTACATTGGACGTCTCTTAGGATCATGTCAAGCAGCCACCTGCCATGCGCACTGTGACTACGACCACGTGACAAGAAGAGCCGACTGTTCTTACCGAAATCTGGACTGCATCCCCGTCAACTACCCAGACTCCCTCGTCATGGATCTCAGCCACAACAAGATATCGATACTTGAAGCAGCCGACTTCAACAGGACACTCACACAGTTGGTTGAGCTGTACCTTGACTTCAACAATATATCGGATCTGACGTCACTAATGACGTCAACTGAGATGGCAAGCCTAAAGAAACTGTCGATTAAACACAACATCGTTGTGCACTTGGACTATTCTTGTAGGCTGGATTCCCTTGAGGATATATCATTGGATAACAACCTGATCAACAGCTTTCACGAATTTCCACATTGTCAAAGTTTGAAGCGATTTTCAGCTGATTCAAACGAACTGCAAAGAACTGACATGTTCTTATTCGATTGCTGTTTTCCCTCATTTATTAGCATGCGGTTCAATAGAATAACAAGTTTAATTATTCATTTTTTCCTTCGCCCGTTATCTGGAAATTGGACCGTGTTACTGGATCACAATGAAATAAGCACTGTTTATATGGATAACTGGGATCGGATTGACCTAGGCCTACTCTCTCTCAGTCATAACAGACTACGAAATGCATATGTCCAAGCTCCCAATGAGCTGATCATATCTAGCAATGGATTACTTGGATTCGATAACGGATTCGGCGTTTATCAACATGAAAATAAATTCATGGAGAAACTTGACGTAAGGAACAATTCGTTCGATTCCCTGATACAACCAGATTGGGCAGAAGGTCTCAAGATCTTATACGCTGATGACAACATGCTGACGAACCTGTCCTCTACAACCCTGCAAGGATTCGTCAACCTGACGGAGCTCCATTTAGCAAACAATCGACTTCTATTCATCTCTTCGACCGCTTTGAATCAACTCACCATGCTAAGGTCCTTTTATCTCGATGGCAACGCCCTGACATCATTATTTGGTGGAATATTTTGCACTCAAGCTGAATTAGTAGAGCTATCAATCACCAACAATCAACTCTCCGTCTTACATCCTAATTACTTCATTGGTCTGGATTCACTTGAACGTCTGTATCTCGCTGGGAATCGACTGCTTTACGTCCACTCGGTGGTGTTTCGACACATGCCTGGACTTATTACCTCGGACTTTTCTCATAATGAACTCGAGATTTTTGATATCACAAATTGCAGTCTTCTTAGCAACTTACAATACGTTCTCCTGGATCATAATTTAATCAATGATTCCAGTTACATACGTGGTCCCTGTAATAACTTGGTTGTACTTGACATAGGATTCAATCGAATCGAAGTGGTTTCCGTTGACTCTCTTACTGCTAGAAACAGAGCGCTATCCAGACTAGAGCTTGAAGGCAACCCGCTTCAGTGTGACTGCCGGTTGAAAGGTCTACGTGAGTGGCTTCTCAACAATCCACCGTCTTCTCTCCCTCGATGTCAAGGTCCACCGAAGAACTCCGGACGAGTGGTTACAGACTTGGACATACATGACTTCTCGTGCCACCCTCCAAAGGCTGTGATTGACAAGAACAATCTTACCGTGACAGTCGGTCAGACAGCAACTCTATCATGCACGGCTGTCGGCGTTCCTGTCCCCATCATAACATGGCTGGACCCCAATGGCACGGTAATTACAGACAAACGGCACGGCAGGTTTGTCATTATTGAACGGTCGACTTTACACATCATTCCTGCAAACAAACCTGACCATGGAATGTACACTTGTTTGGTTCGTAATCCCCTGGGTGAGACAGACAGAGCCGTGGTCAACCTTACAGTTATGACTATTCCACCCACAATAACATCTTTCTGCGCCTCTTCGGCAGGTGCCGTTCTCCCCACTGTGTTTGTTACCCTTGTGATCACACTCACTGTTGTTGGCTTGGTTTTCCGTCTCCGTCACCGTCGCAATGCAAGACCAAGACCCAATCCAGCTTTCTCTGGGCAGCAATCCAAGATTACGGTTGACTTCCGAAAGCAGAAAGCCACGCATGAAGAGGGAGGCTATGTCACCAAAGTCGACGATGGAACCTACATGACTCCAACGCAAAGAGATCAAGAATCTACGTACGAGGATACATCAGGAGACGTGTATGAGGTTACTGGCATGCAAATGTCACAGCAGAATCAGCAACAAATTACTCATGACAACGACGACGTTTACGAACCAGTGTCTGTCAGCTAAGGCCTACAAACCTTGGTCTCCTGTCGTTTTGATAAAGGTTACTTACGTCTAGTAGATGACGTTGTGTTCTGACCTTGTCTCCCTGTTTAAGCCTCTGTATGAGTGGTTAGTTCGCGAGTGTTTTCCTCATATACAAGCAGAGTTAAGACTCCTTTCAGAGCAACAGCTTTGGTGACTTGACTTACTCGAATCCCAACGGGTTACTGACTTGACTCCTACTTGGGAAGAAAACAGTCTTGTAACTCACAACACTCCGTCTCCAATGTGTGCAACAACGGCGCGTACGTCACTCTCGGTTCAGAGCAGACTTACAGTTTCTGACGTCAAATAGCGGCCGCTTATTATTATCGCGTGAATTTTTTTTATTTTATCTACTATTCTACATGACATTTAACAATATATATGCAAATTGTCAACTAAATTCGCCATGCTTAGGAAATTTTCGAAGACTTTTATTCATCAAAAAGATAACGTTTTGGTCTGCTTTAAAAACTTCGAAACACTTTTGGATGTTAAAATTTACTTTAAAGGTTGTCATCGTGAAAAATTATGGATAAGCAGCCAAACTGGAATTAAGAGCAATTTTCAAGTAAAGTTGTTGCTGTTAAGTTATCTAGTGGAGGCCGTTCAATATCATTTCAATGATCATTTAATGCATCAATCAAATTCGACTCGACAATACACATTGACTCGACTAGACTCGACTCAAGTTTCTTGACCCGATAGGTCTTCTCGAGTTGGGTCACTTCCTAAAAATCAGCACCCTAGTTGTCCCTTCAGGACAACACCGGACAAGTGTTTTCCTGCATGGCTATATGGACACCAAGGGTGTTAACTTAATACATTGCGTACTTTGCCTTTGCTCACTAGGACTGTGAGCATAGACAACGTTGTACCCACTCTAATTTGCATGAGCACGTGAGATGCGTCACAAGGTATAACTACGTGATTTGAGGATAGAGAGGAAGACGGTGACACTCGCCATTGACAACTGACAAATTTTCCCCGATTCTTTGATTTGTAAAGTTGACATGCACGATGAGTTACCCGGAAGTAAAAAAATGTTCATCGTAAACGGGCAACCAATTAATATGCTAGTTTTGTAGGGGTAGATGGCGTTCCTCACGTCTATTTAGTCATTGTAAATTGTGTATAGTGAGTTTGTCTATGACTCGACTGTGACAATTTAATTTGAATTCACCGGAAAAGATTTTTTGACCCTCAGTATTGTCAAACGCAAGACTCAAAATGCTTGACTGAACTTTCGTAAAGCTGAAGAGCTGAAGATATCAAATACCTAACTGATAAATGTAATGTGCACATTTTAACAATAGTTATAAAAAACTGTGTTCTGTGGTAAAAGCAAAGTGCTTTATCTGTGCAACGTTATCATTTTCATCACGACACACAAAGGTTTTGCGCCCACTGCACTACGCCCAACGCCTTTGCATGCGACATAAAAATATGTAAAGGAGTATGCGATTATGTTATATTCTTCTTAATAAACTTTGTACATAACTGTTTAATCACATGAAATTACACTCATTATCCAAGACGCGTGGTTGTGTGCCCAAAAACTAGATGTTTCTCTCGCATGAAGATTCTCAGTCTATTTCCTGAGCTTACGCTATATTCAACATTTCTTGGAAAAAAACGCCGACGAACCGTCAAAATATTGAAAAATTTACATCTTTGTAGTTGTATATTTATATTTTGGAGCACGTGTAAATGTTCAATTGTAACAACCAGTAATTCCCATTTGTTATTTTGGGTTGAAATATGTCTTCGATCAGATAAACATCAATGATACTATATAATGTATATATACTATTACATCATAATCGATTTGAAAAGCCAACACTTTAGAAACGGTACTACAACTTCTCCTTTGAGTAGGAGAATTGTTATAAAGCTGAGAAATTGGCAAACAGTTTTTAGAAAAACAGTCAATTTTGCCCCACCATAAAACTGGATAGGTCCTTTCGTCAAAATATTAAGCAAATTATTTATTCAGAATAAATCTGCATGCCTGTTAATCAGAGCAGTCGTTTTGCAAAAAGTGCCTTGTTCCCCATGCAGGCTTTTACTTTTGTGGTTTCCGTCTGCACGTTAAGAGTGAATTATTTTATTTATTCTAAACACTGGAAGTCGTGTCTCACAGTTTGAAGGCAAAAAGGAGGGGTTTCTTCCTGAACATATTCTGGAGGGGAAGGGCTCCCCCCTGTTTTTATGCCTTGTTCTTCACTTTTGTGTATCAATTCACTGCGGAGTGATAGTGGTGCGAATACCGATTTCTTTCACTTCACTTGTTATGGTAATTTGTTTGTCCCATCACTTCCATTGGAAATTTCGAATCCAGTTCGGGGATGTAAATGGTCAACCTTGAACTCGATTTATCCAAGACATGAACTGCGAGCTTGCTAATGCTATCTCGACTACCCCGGCTTGTTTGGAATTTCCCCTTAGGCCTTTGGGCAGCCGTATAATTTGTCCGAATCTTAATATTCGTTTGATTCATATTGATTATCTTTTTTATATTCTACTTTTCATTACAATCCCAACTTATAAGCAGACAACATGAAACACACAAAGACAAAAAAAACTGGTGTGTGTGCACGCCTAAGCCAGAAGGAATTTATTCATCATATTGATGTGTCGGGCACCGAAATCTGGGCGGCCGACTTATCTTGCATGCGACACATTATATCAATATCCATTCTTTGGGCACCCACAAAGGCCCAGAAACATTGCTCTAAGCACCATATGAATTCTTTGAGCACCCACTGTCACAGTAGTTCCATTTTTGCTTGTTATCTTGTCCTTTACTTACCTTCAGCAGAATAGTTGATTCCAAAAGTTAACTGTTCAGACTCTTAGTTCCCCACCCCTTTCTTTCAGTGTCTTTTGACTATGAGTTGCCTTCATGTATATTTATCAGTTCCCTTAGTTCAGTGATAGTACACACCTGTTTTCTTTTAGTATAGGGCCACCAGTCCAGCTGCACATTTTCATTTAGTTAGATGTTGTTAGGCTAATTAGTGATATAAGAGTTCTTTGTGAATAGGTGTAAGAAAAAGCCCATCCTCCTTCGTTTATAGGTGTAAGAAAAAGCCCATCCTCCTTTGTGTGTAGGTATAGGGGGGAAAAGCCCTCCTTGTAGATTCAGGGGGAAGGAGTGCAAGACAAGTAGATCAGATTGCTTGCAGATAGAGAGGATGTATGTAGGGTTGCCACTTGCTAAAAAGTAGTTTGGAGTCTGTGCACCAGCTAACACAATTATTTGGTATTGGAGCCGTATCCAGTTTAACTGTTAAAAAGCTTGACAAAAGTGGTCAAGGCAGACCTGCCAAAGTTTTACCTTTGGGCAAAACTACATAAGAACTCGTTGGGAGTTTGGTGGCATGTAAAACTCAACCTGAAAGGAACACCTGAAGGAAACTCGGAAGTTTTAACTTTTCGGAAAGATTTAATTTGTTTACAAGCGTAAGTTAATTACTTGGTATGAAATTTCTAAGGAGAAGAAAACCTTAGATTGGTTAAATTGTTCTAACTTATCAAATCTATGCATTTCTCTAACTGTAGTAGATGGAGACAAATTTGAAAATGTATCCAAAGTATATCTTGTGTATATGTTGCTCTAACCATCCAAATTGGTCAAAAGATAGATATTTTCGAGAGTTTGCATTTGTTTTCATATTACTTAGATTGCCACAAGGTCCACAAGATCGAAAAACTTGTTGGCTGTGTCACTGAAAACCACTTCACACAGCTGACGGCCTATGAATGACTGGTGGAAAACCTTGCAGAAGAAGAATCTAAACAAGAACCCATCTTTGAATCTGCAGTAAGACTCAGGACCAAAAACTTGAATAGTTTGTATGTTGCAATTTAAAGAACAGAGACTAAAGGTAAAGTTTTTAAGTAAAGAAAGAAAAAATTGTACTCTGGAAATGTATACATGAATTGTGAATATTGGAAAAGTTCCTAAGTGGAGTTCAGTTTTTACATTCCTTTGAATTACTTGTCCCGGCATTGACACCTACAAAGGCTCAAAGTGCCCATAGTTCCAAGCACCATTTGGCCTTGCAGATGAAATTGAGTGAACCAATTAAAGACTGCAGTGCAACCAGAGTGAGATTAGAGTAATTGATTTTTGAGCACATTGACTTTGGCCATACGGACCTGGACCTGCCTCAGGACAGCATCGATTTCTAAACCCAAATACGTTAATTTCTCCAAAAGGAACACGAAATGGAGCTTCCCATAGGCAAACATTTGTCGTAATAATAGTTGCCCTCTAATGTGAAACCCAAAAGTTCGTAATCTGAAGGGGTCACTGTCAGTAATCGAAAAACCGATTTAATATCACATTTTGCCAACTAAGCCCCATGTCCCACTGCACTGCCTCAGCAAATGAGGCGTAATGCATTGTGCAATTGTCATCAATAAAATCCTTAACTGAGTGCCCCTATGGATAGGAAAGGTGGTGGATGAGCCCGTATGTATAAGGTTCCCGTTTAGGTACTAAACCGATAGGTGAGTACCGGAATGGTGGGGCTGAGAATGGACCCGCAATTCTATTAAGGTCTGTTTCCTTTTGTATATTTTCCCTAACAATGTGAGAGGGTGAGCCGCAGCTGAGGTTAGGCAACTTGCCTGGCGGCTGTGCCTGGGGCCCTGATATTGCAGCGAAAAATCGTGTGGGAAACCTCTCTCCAGCAGTTACGCATCAGCTGGTTACGGTTAGGGCTAGGGGTTAGGGGAGGGGTTGGATTGGGTTAGGGGTTACGGACACGGTTAGGGGTTAGGGTTAGGGTTGAGGATGGATAAGGAAAGGGGCAAGGGTTAGTCGTGCGGATCGTTAGGGCTAAAGGTAGGGTTAGGGGTGGCAATGATTAGGGATAGGGTTAGGGTTGGGGGAGGGTAAGGGTTGTAGGGGTTAGGGGAGTGATAGTTAGGGTTAGAGTTGGAGATGGTTGGGGTAAGGGTTACGGTAAGGATTAGAGTTAGGGTTGGGGTGGGTTAGGGTTAGGGATAAGGGTGGGGAATGTTAGGGTTAGTGGTTAGGGATAGGAATAGTGAGGGTTACGGTGGTTGGTTAGGGTTAAGGTTACGGAGAGTTAGGGTAGGGGTTGGGCTACTGATAGTTAGGGTGAAAGGTTAGGTTTAGGGGTGGGTAGGGTTAGGGGTGGGGTGGGGTGGGGATGGTTAGGGCTATGGA